ATAAATCTATTCTACTTCTTTCATTAAAAATTTCAGGAAAGCCAGCTTAAAGACCATGCAGGGTAGGATGGATGAGCAGACACTAACTCGTGATGGTGAACCTTTTAGAGCTCTCCGTCATAACAGTCAGCCCACTGTGGTACTTGTGCCAAAGGTTTGCCACCACTGCTCTAATCCATTGATTGTTTGCCTTCTCTGTGCCTGCATTGAGGTTTATTAATGGAAGTTTTGTTAATGGAAATTTCTAAGCACAAATGAAAGTCAAAAGCACTTTTCAGCTCACATCCACCTTCCTACCACTCAGAATGTGTTGCTAATATTTCATTAGCTCTGCTCTCATCACCTGCCCACCAACCACCTCACTCTGTGCAGGTTCCAGAAGACATTGCAGACCCCGGGGCAAAGTCCCAAAATCTTACCTCAAGCATAACTGAATAGGGTTGAGAGTTTTCATTTTTTTTTAATAAGGTAAAGTTTATGCACAGTGGAACACACAGTGAGTTTTGAGAAGCACCCACATATCTAGGGGGTACCCTGGCTCAAAGCTCACCATCATTCTACAGAGCTCTTCAGGCTCCTACCACCCTCAGAGGCAACCAAGGTCCACCTTTTTTCTACTATAGTTTACCTGTGCCAACTAGAACTTCAGATTTTTCACTCGGCCTATTTTCTGGAAGCACATCGGCATTGTGTCAGTGCCAGCACATACTGTGTGACCACGCATATCTGCTCCTGAGGGATCTGTGTGGACGTTCTTGTGGAAGTTTTGTGTGCATGTTTGCATGTGTCTTGAGTAGCACTCCTACAGCATTATTGGATTGCACATACTCAGCTTACAGAAAGCCCCCAGACCTCCTCTAGTGGCTTGGAGGTTTGTGTTCCCACCATCATGGCTTGCACATGTGTGTGTGTCCGTGCACATACACAGTGCTGAGGCTGGAACCTGGACCTCACACACACCCTCATCCCTTATTATGATTTAATTGGCATTTCCCTGGTGACTAGTGATGCTGATTGTTCTCATGTGTCTGTTGTCTGACTCTACTTTTTCCTAGTCTGGCTTGTTTTCTTAATTTTCTGTGTTTTAAGTAGATACTTTTTATTGTGATGTAGTCTGATTTGTCTTTTTCTTTTAATGATTTTTACTTCCTATGTCCTGTCTAGGAAACCATTGCCAACTCTCAAATCATGGAGCTATTTTCTTTTGCATTTTTGGAAAGCTTTGTAGTTATACTATACATAAAAGCTCTTTCATGTTTAGGCCAGTGATACACTTCAAATTTGTGTGTGTGTGTGTGTGTGTGTGTGTGTGTGTGTGTGTGTTGTAAGGTATAAATCAAGGGTAGTTTCCTTACAAATTCCTATTCCATCACTCTGTATTGAAAAGATCTGCTTCCCTTTTGAAGATTGTTTTTGTGCTTAAAAGCAGTCCTGTAGGTGAATTTGCTTTTGAATTCTTTTGTTCTCATCCCTTGATCTATTTGTCAGTCTTTGACTTTGTTCTTTTTGAGGTAATCTTAGATATCCTAGGTCCTTTGCTTTTCTATATACAATTTTGAATCAGCGTGCAGTGACTATAAAAATTTGGCGAGAGTTCAAGGTTTGTATTGGACCTAGAGATCAATATGAGGAGAATTGATAAACTAAATAATATTGAGTTTCCAATGCATGAACCTGGTATATCTCTCCATTAATTTAACCGTTCTTCAGTTTTCATTTTGATATGGGGGTCTTGTATCTTTTATTAAATTCAAATATGTTATAATTTGGGAGTTGTCAGTGTTATGTTAGTTTTTAAATTTCATTTCCTAGTTATTTGCTGCTGGTGTATAAGAATAGTCCCCCTTTTTAGGGGGAGGTGGTTTGTAGGGGGGGATTCAAAGCCTTCGACACACTAGACAAGTGTTCTAAAACTGAGCTACACACCAGCCTCATTTTTGTGGTTTCATCTTGTATGCTTTGCCTTGCTAATAGCTGCTTCTGTAGGCACCTTAAGATTGCAGTAGGGATAGCTGAACGGCTTCCTTTTGGGCCCTGTGTTTTGTTTCCTTACTCTGGCCCTGTTGCAGTATGAGAGACACCTCCAGCACAGAGTGAGGGAAGCAGACACCCTGACTCCCTCCCTGGGTCTCAAAAGGAAGAACCGTGTGTATAGCATTAGCTATAGACTTTTCATAAATGCCCCTGATCCACTGACGAAGTTGCCTCCTATTCATAGATCTGTAAAGAATTCTTACTAGAAAGAGCATTGAATCTTGTCATGAGTAGTCTGCTTCTGTTGAACTGGTCTGATTGTTCTCTGGCTGATGAGGGTCTTCCCAGTCCTGCAGATGGCCTGCAGCCCCTCGGTAGGGACCTGCTCCTCCCCAGGGTGCCCTCGGCAGTCTCCTCCCTGCATTCTCCTGACTTCCTCGCCTTCTCTTGATGGTTCAGCCCTGGACTTGAGTATGCAGTGAGGAGACCTCCCATCTGTTAGCGTTCTGCCTGTGATACAAATGGCTGTAAAAACCCATAAATATTGATTTTGGGGTTACAAGTAAACTTCAGCAAAGATGACAGATTCACAAATACAGAATCTGAATAAAGAAGATCAACGTATTTGGAAATAAGATCTTTTCACCACTCATTTAATTTTAGGAGATCCATGAATTTTTAAAAAATTTACTGTTAAGGGGCTGGGGATTTAGCTCAGCGGCATAAGCGCCTGCCTTGGAAGCAGGCAGTCGTGAGTTCAATCCCTGGTACCGATAAAAAGGAAAAAAGACAAAAAAAAAAATTTTTGCTGTTAATAAACAGTTGGTTTTGTATGCACCATGTTTTCCTAGTCTTAGAATTAAAAAGCTATGAGTCCAGCACCTTCCTACTTCACCGTTGAGATAATTAATGCCAGGCCTGACAGCCAGTTACTGCAGAGTCTGATTTTTAAACTGGTTTTTCCCAGGCACTCCTCTGGGTCACCATTGCACTCCCAGGACACAGAGAGGCACCCTGTACTGTCGCCTTCCCAGTGCAGGTATCAGAGTGAAAGCAGTTGAAATTTAGCCTAAACTGTTCTGCTCCTTAGATGCAGCATCTGGGGATAATGGGGCTTCATGAGCAAAACCACACCTCACAAAAGTGGCCTGTGTTTAAGTAACATTGCAGTTTAAGAGATTGGTCTCTAAAGTAGTGTTTGAAGCATTTACAGAACATCCAGAATCCAACCACCGAGTCTCTCTCCAGCACCAGGGTCTGTGGAGCTGCCCCCTTCCTGCTGGGCAGTGTTAGATGAAGGGACAGCCAGGCATGGCTCTGTCCCAGCAGGGGCCCTGCGCGTAGATCAGTGGTGGCAAATCAATGGCACACATGCCACGGTGGGCTGTTTATATCATTGAAAGCTCTAAAAGTTTACCATCAGTGGAACTGGATGCGCCATGGGAGCTACTGACTGGCAGGGTGAGGGCATGAGATGCAGCTCAGCTAACACTTGGGAAACAACAGAGATAAAGCAGGCTCGCCAAGAGGGGTGGAGGGCAGCTTGTGGAGGTGGCCAGCAGTGATGAAGAAGGGCCAGTCTCATAGCCCTGCAGTGGCCCAGGGGTGGGGACCAGCTCCCAGCTCTCCTGATACCCTGCCCCCCCCTCAGGCTTCTTATCACAACCTCATGAGTTTCCAGTGCAAGGGGCATCAGAGAACCTATGTCTGGCTCTTAGCAAGGTTCTTCGAGCCACATGTAGTTGACATGCTAGTCCAACGTCCATTTCTTCAGATCCTGCCTTGTCGGGGCCATGCCCCGAGACCTCCGCTCCTTCACGGGGAGGCAGCACCTGCTCCGGATGCCATCAGGCACCCTGGCCACTTTCTAAACCATTTGCTTTTTGATCCTTGAAATAAAGGTTTGTGCACTGCTGTAGGAAAGAAGAGAACCCGATTTGATCTATAAATAGGTAAAAGTAACTGAATAAACTGAAAAGCTTAGAATCGGGGCTGGGGATTTAGCTCAGTGGCATAAGCGCCTGCCTTGCAAGTGTGTGGTCGTGAGTTTGATCCCCGGTACCAATAAAAAAGAAAAAGACAAAAAAAAAAAAAAAAAAAAAAAAAAAAAAAAAGCTTAGAATCAACCTTTTCCATTCTGAATAATAGCTTTGTTTTTTTTGTTTTTTTTTTTTTTTTTTTTTGAGACAGGATCTCCCTTTCTGGTTCAGGGTAGACTTGAACTCACTTTGTAGTCTAGACTGGTCTCAAACTCACACAGATCTTCCTGCCTCAGCCTCCCAAATGCTGGGACATGGCTTTTTTAGTTGTTTTTGTTTTAAACAAATATGTGCTGTGGCAGTTAGGCTGTGTCTGACTCTTCAGTTCACATCATTACGTTGCCAGTACCTAGGCTGGTGTTCAGCTGTTTGCTTGTCAAATCCATGAATAGATTGCTACCCTGTACTTGCTTAGAAATACTCCTCCACTTACAGTGGGGTTGCATCTCAACAGACCCATCCTGGCTTGAAAATACAAAAAATGGAATCACATTTACCATACGTGACCTGAATGCCACCCCCAGCAGCACAGCCCTATGGGGTACAACCAGAGCCTACAGAGTGCAGATTATTCTCCTGGTGGTCTTGGGGATGACTGGGGGTCATATCACCAGTCCAAGAAAAGATGCAAACTCAGAATCAGAAGTACAGTTTCTCCCAAATGCTGTCACTTTGGTACCGTCATACAGTTTAAAAATTGTAAGGTAGAACATGATAATTGTAAAACCTTCTGCAGTTCATGTCTTAATAAAATAGGTTCTTGTATCTTGTTTTGTCACTTCATCTACTAGTTTGGTTTTCTGAATTAGTGTATTTTTAAGTCCTCTGATCTAAATCCAGCAACAGAGCTTATTAAAGGAATTCTTTTAAGTAATTCTGTGATCTGTCTTCACATAGAGGGATGATATCTATATCCATAGTGGCAGCTTTCCTGGGACTCCAGAAAAATCGGAATTTCCACCCCCTTGGGCTGTCCTGGTACACCAGGGGCCCGGTAGTCTCTGCCTTAAGTGTGTGTTTGGAGTGCGTTTGTGTCGGGTGGATTTAGCCTGTTGACTCCAAGATCCACGTGTTTTTCTTTTTTTTTCTGGTTTCAGCTGACACTGAAGATGTGTGCATTGTAGAAAGATTGTTCTCCAGCAGCTTAGTGGCCATCGTTAGCCTCAAAGCTCCCAGGAAGCTGAAGGTTTGCCACTTTAAGAAGGGGACTGAGATCTGTAATTATAGCTACTCCAACACGATTCTGGCCGTGAAACTGAACAGGCAGGTGAGTGAGGCTCTGGTATGGATTTTAGTGTACATTGCTCCCTGTCCCTCTGCTTCCAGCCTGGTATGGTTGTCTCCTCCAGGGCCTCCAGGGTGGAGCAGAGGGTGGCACCATGCAGCTCCCACCAGCCAGCCATCCCCGTGCTGGGCACACGTTGGCCAGAGGCTGACTGCTCTGCTGTCTCCTCAGCAGCTTTGTCCCAACCATCACATTCATGACACTGCCTTCCCCTGCCAGGCTGTTTCACCCGTTCTTTAAGACACAAGTCTTAACAACTTACTGTCTGTCTATTTGCTTATCATGGGTTGGGGATTTAGCTCAGCGGCACAAGCTCCTGCTTGGCAAGTGTGAGGTCATGAGTTCAATCTCTGGTATTAAAAAAAATACATTTAATTGTCCAGAGATGTCCAGGTGTTTATGTATCTTTTGCTTTTATGAATGTTACTTTTTAAAAATGTTTCAGACCCTTTTTTCCTTCCATTAAGTTGTCAGTTTGACTTGTCTATTCCCCAAAACCCAGCAGAGTTGGTGAGTAGCTCTTGGGTTTGTTCAGCAGCCTCCCCTGGCTCAGGTTAGCACACGGTCCAGCTCTGCCCATTAGCTCCCCTGTGTCTCCCAGCTCCGGCAGCACCGCACACCCTGAAGGGAGGGCTGACTTGGCCCCCAGGACAGAGTGCGAGCTACAGCTGGAGCTGGCTTCTGGTTGGAACTGGATGAAGGCAGCCCTCTCACTTAAGCCTCGTTAGCACCGGTTTGGTCTGTTAAGTGACAAAATCGGTTAAACTGAGAAATCATAGCATGTAATAGCTTGAAGATTTTAAAAATCTAAGATACATAAATGTTCCTTCCTGTCCCAACAAAGAATTGTGTGCATGCCAGGTTGTCTTTCTTGTCTGAATCATTCCCTCAGTGGATCCTGTAAGTCTGCGTGCATTTTCTGCAAATGGGCAAGAACTTGCAGCAAAATAAGCTTTGTATTTTTATGGATTTTTAAATTTTTGTTTGTTTTGGAGACAAGTGTTTTGTTAGGTAGTTTAGGCTGGGTTCAAACTTACAGTGATCCTCCTGCCTCAGGTTCCTGAGTGCTGGAATTACAAACATGTGCCCTCACACCTAACTTAATACCAGTTTTTAGGTGTCTTTTTTTTTTCTTTTCTTTTTTGTTTTTTGAGACAGAGTCTCTGTGTGTAGTTCAGGCTGGCCTGGAACTCAATATGTAACTCAGGCTAGGCTTAAAACTCACAGGCTGCAGGGCAGGGCCCAGCTGCTCCTCTTGTCCAGCCTCCCAAGTGCTGGAATCACAGGGGTGCATGTACCACCATGCTCAGCCTAGTATCAATTCTTAAAAGCAACTGCCTTTAGCAAATGTTTCCAAAGCCCGCTTTCCATGTAGTTCAGCATGATAGCAAGTTACATTAGTTAGAATTCCAGTGCTCCTGTGCCCACCTCTGGCAATAAGAAGCCTTCTGCATCCCAAACCTTGAACATCCAGCCTGTGTGGATGGATGAGTAAGGAATGGAGAGCGTCTTAACCAGGACTTGGCTAATAGAGAACCAGGGACATGTGCCATAGCAAGTGTTTCTTCATGGTAGGTTTTCTGTGTTCTCTCTAGAGGCTCATTGTGTGCCTGGAGGAGTCTCTCTACATACACAACATTTTACTGCACACCATCAGGGAGACCCCCCCAAACCCTGCAGGTAAACTTGTTTGTGAGAATCTTTCTGATTTTGCCTTGTGAGATCAGCTTTAGGATGCTGGGTGCGATACCACACACCTGTAATCCCAGCGCTCTGGGAGGCTAAGGCAGGAAGACTGCAATTTTTGGCCAGCCTGGACAACTTAATGACTTAACAAGACAGGGACCTCTTCTCTGAATACTTGGCTATGTCTGAGCCTGCTAAAAAACTTTCTTAATTATACCTATAGGTGAGAGATTTTTGTTTCTTTATGTAGGTTCCATGGATGAGGCTGATTTTTAAAATTGTGGTTTTAAACCAGTCAGCTTTCTGCTAAAGTTGGTCAGTGGGCAGTACCAGCTCTTTGGTTTGCTCAACATTCAGTACATAACTGTTGCTGGCTTTTGAGGTTACTGATCATTTCAAAGCAAAGGCCTTTTTATAGTGTTGACATCACCTAAGTTGGGTTGGGGATACCAAATTTTAAAAATGCTGTTGTTAGCTTATCAAAATGGTATTTTATTTGTAATTTTAAAAATAAATGCTAAATTACAACTAGAAAGGCACACTTTCAGACTTGACTTGAACCTGCTGTCCGTGTGTTACTACAGGCTTGTGTGCCCTCTCAATAAACAGTGACAACTGCTACTTGGCGTACCCAGGGAGTGCCACCATCGGAGAGGTGCAGGTCTTCGACACCATTAACTTGGTGAGGGCCCTTTTGTATTTGGTTAACTCTTTAACACATTAACAGTGGGGCCATAATTCATATGTCCCACTGCTGGGCGCCTCTGATGTGGACATGTTAGGTTCCCGCCAGCTTATAGGTGGTAAGGTGGTACACGTGTGACTGTCTCATTTTATTAGCAAAAAGATGGATAAAAGTGATTAGATCCATGTGTAGCAGCAGTGACACCAGTGCCCCGATGGGACAGTCAAGCATGTTTCAACCCTGGAATCTTTAGCCCAACTGCACAGTTATCACTCCTCTCAAAGGTGGAGCAGGGCTGGTTGAAGCTGCCTCTGCGGGTCCCCGAGTGCTGAGCTCCTGCAGTGGGGGTGGCCCAGGCAGTGTGGAGACCTTCAGGGAGAAAGTGCTGTGTGTCTTAGAGTCTGAGCAGCACTTGCGTAGCCCCACCCCAGTCAGTCAGGTGGACTTGATGTTGTATTGGCCAAATGGTGGCTCATTGGTGGCATTTCGGTCTGCTGACAGACAGTAGCACAAGGCACAGGCTTTCATGCATGGCAGCCATGTTTTGTTGGTTTCCCATTTCAGAGAGCTGCAAACATGATCCCAGCCCACGACAGTCCTTTAGCGGCACTGGCTTTTGATGCAAGTGGAACCAAACTTGCCACTGCTTCTGAGAAGGTAGGTGCTGTGGCCCAGGAAGAAGTGGGTCGAAGGCCTCAGTTCCAGCTCTGTGCACGCAGACAGGTTTTAGTAATGCTGCCTTGCAGAGAAGCCATGCGGCCACGCTGGTAGCTGCCGGGGAGTAAGGGAAACGTGAGCGAGTCCACTTTCTGTCCCAGCCACAGTCTGTCTTCTAAGGAGGAAGGCCTGGGCTCACTGGCACTTTGTCCCAGGCACAGAACAGCTAAGCACAGGCTGCAGGGCAGGGCCCAGCTGCTCACCTCAGGACAGCCTGGGGAGGTGGGGACCAGGCACTGGTCTCACTTCTCCCCACCAGGCCTCACTTCTTAAACTCCTACGCTCAGCAGCAGCACCGCCCTCAGCCAGCTCAGGGCCTTGGGGATGTTTACTGTCCTGACTGTGACACTGTGTCATTGTCTGACAAGAGGATACACACTTGTTGTGGAAAACACGGAAAGGCACAGAGCAGATGCAACTGCATTTCTAGCCAGGCCGCTGTCCCCAGTGTGTCTTCAAACTGTGATGTTCACGTTCTGTGGGGGAGAGTTTAGAAAATAAGGAAAAGTGTAAAAGTCAGAGAGAGGCCAGTAAGAATGTCTGGGTTGAGATGCTGTGGCCTAGCCAGGGGTGGTGGCTCAAGCCTGTAATCCCAGAACTCTAGGAGGCTGAGGTTGGACAACCTCAAATTCAAGCCTGTCCTAGACAGTTGAGTGAGTTATTGAAACCACGTTCCAAAATAAAAAGGGCCAAGGCTGTAGGTTCCTACAGTGGCCCTAGGTTCAATTTCCAGTACTGAAGAGGGGGAAAGTGATCTTTTTGGCTTTTTTTGAGGGGTGTAGGAAGGTTTGGTTTTTGTTCTTTTTTGTGTGTGTGTGTGTCTTTTTTCCTTTTTATCGGTACCAGGGATCAAACTCACAACTGCCTGCTTGCAAAGCAGGCACTTAGGCCGCTGAGCTAAACCTCCAGCCCCTGTTCTTTATTTTTGAGACAGAGTGTTACTATGTTGCCCAAGCTGGTCTCAGACTCTTCAAGCAGTACTCTTGCCTCAGCCCCCTGAGTAGCTGGGACTACATGTAGGAGCCATCACACCTGGCTGTCTTTTGTCTTTTAAGTATTGCAATGTATTTAACGTTTAGTTTTCATCAAGATATGCACAACATGAACTTTACTGGAGGTGAGCCTGCCTAGGGTATGATGCTGCTGGGGGCCATCTGTAGGGCCTGAGTTCACATATAGGATGGTTGAAGTACTATTCCAAGCAAAGTATGTCCAGGTGGTTTCTACAAACCAGCTCGTTTTGTTTTTTTTTGTTTGTTTGTTTGTTTTGAGGAGGAGGGTTTTTGTTTTGGGTACAGGATCTCGCTGTGTAATTCAGGCTGACCTCAAACTCACAGTGATCCTCCTGCCTCTGCCCCCTGAGTGCTGGGATTACAGCCATCAACCACCATGCCCAGCTACAAACCAGTGTTGAAGTCATTTCTCTTCAGGCTAAGGACCAGCAATAAAGGAGCACAGGCTAGTTTAATATAATTGAGTGATTTTATAAACACTTGCATTATTTAGCCCACAGTATATATGTGTTACTGAGAACACATACACAGCCATGTCAGCAGACCTGAGAAAGGAATTTCCCGGAAAGGCTCACAGACCCCTTCATTTACGCTGCATCCAGCTGTCTCACTCTAGTGAGGGTAGAGCAGTGGCTCTCCTCACATGCACTCAGGGCTTAGGGGTGCTTTGCTGTCACAGTCTGTGTTTCAAGTACATTCTGAGCACTGCACACAGCCATCTCCTCCTGGAAACCCACATTGATGAGTTGCCCCACTGTGGTGCTCTGGGAAGTCTGTGTCCCCTGGAATCCTCGTCTTCCATAACAAGCTTGATGGCCATCTGTTTGTCTCTGTTCTGTGAGTAGTAGACCCACGTGTGTAAACAGAGTCCTGTGTGCTCACAAGCCAGTGGTGGCATCCATTGGAATGCCCTCGTGGTAACACCTCTCAGCTCTGTCCCCATGCTGTGCATCCCAAATCCTAACTCAAGACACCCTTTGAGTCGTGCTTCATTTTATCAGCGTTAGGTGACCCCAAGCATCCATAGCTGCTACAGGGGTTTGAAAACCAGATGTGATTAAGAAATTGCTGTTTTCTCTGAGGGGGATGATCACAGATTTGGCCTGTGGCCTCTTTTCTTTGCTTTTACAGTAGGTTATTTCCACAGTTGCCGGCCAGGAACTCGAAGGCTCAGGGGCTCTTTCTGCCTCAACCCCACTGAGTCCTGGGACTGTAGACATGCACCATCCACCAGGCTCCACACGGCCTTCTTTAAATACCTCCACGCCCAGAACAGAGCAGCATGCTGCCAGATGTCAGCGTGACTCTAGCAGGCTCTCCTGGTCTTCCAGGCCTGGACCCCCACCTCATCTGCCATGTTGGTCCTGCTTTCCCTCCAAAGCTCTGTCCTTCTCTTCTGTCTCTTGGAGATTGTGTTTGTTTTCTTGTCATTGTTCTTTTCGGAGCACCAGTCCTCTGTGCACTTGCCAGCTGCACTTGGATTTTCATTTTCTTCTCCCTGAAGTTCTAAATCGTCCTCCCCTCCTGAGTCTGCGCCTCCCTCAGTCCCACTTCCCAGGGACTTGTATTCCTTGTGCCACCTGATCACAGCATAGCATTCTCTCATTTCATGCCGAGGGATCAGAGCAGCTGCCTGGGCTCCTCCCATTGCTCACTGTCAGGTTTGGACTCCAAGCCTCTGATTGTGCTAGTAGCCAGGTATATCCCATCCATGGCCCACAGATCATAATCCTGGTGCTCAGCTAACTCCTGCAGGGACTGTGTGGGCATCAAGGGCACTTGACAGGGACCAGAGCAGCGCAAACTCCACATCCTGTGCCCTGCAGCACAGTGGTCCCCTGAAGCTCTTGTGCCCCTGGGCATGTGAAACACAGCTGCCTTTCAATTATATTTCAGCCTGCCTGCACTTGTGCGCCTGTGTCAGGTCTTATTACGCAGATATGTAGGTTTTCTTACTCAACCTCGGCTTGGGTTATTTCATCAAGCTAATTTAGTAAGTTAAAATGTTTTACAAAGGACACTTTATTACCTGTTTACATTAACTATATTATGTGTTTCACATGTAGTACAAGTTCCTCTTCACTCAGTGCAGTCCAGGCAAGCCCAAAGTTGGGCACCTGTGTGCTAGACCAGCCCACACGTCCCCTTGCCCAGCTCCTCTGGGAGTGTGAAGTCCTTACCCCTTAATCAAAATCTTGCTGTTATGTTTCTTCTTAGCTCTTAGTACTTCAAGCACTTGGAATTTCAGAGACACTAAAAGTAGAATATTTTTTTCCAGGTTAAAGAAATCTGCTTCATACAGCTGGGGATTTAGCTCAATGGCTTAAGTGCCTGCCTGGCAGGTGCAAGGTCATGAGTTTGATCCCCAGTACCAAGAAAAAAAAAAAAAAAAGAAAAAGAAAACTGCTTAATTTGCATTTAAACAGAATCCAGTCTGTGGGATAATATCACTGGGCTTGTTCTGGGTCCAGGCCACATGTAACTTAATCCCACTTTCAAGGAACTTGGTATCATGTCCCCTTGCAGCCCTTAATTAGTATGACAGAGTGAATTGCTGTTGGTGGCCTACACCTCTAAGCCCAGCACTCTGGGAGACTGAGTCAGGAGGATCACAAATTTAGGGTCAATTTAATGACTCCTTGTCTCAAAGTAAAAAAGGGCCAGGGATGTAGCTCAGTGCAAAGGCCCTGGGCTTGACCTGTAAAGGAGAAGCCCTTCGCCTTGTTTTTGTGTGTGCATGCGTAAAACATCGTGTCCCTGTGACACTTAGAGCTGCTCACTCAGTGGTGTCCTTGCATTGCATCCAGAGGGAACCACTGCTCTCCAACTCCATGTCCAGAAATGACCTGCCTCGCCCGCCACAGTCTGCTTCCTAACCACCTGCACTGTGTCCCCTCCTCGGCCCACTGCGAGTTAGATAAACAGCTCCTTTCTGTGCCGTGCTTCAGTGGTCTGCACCTTTCTGGCTATTTATAAACATGCAAGGTTGCCCTAACCATTTTTATATGCAGCAGTCTAAACCTTCTAAACTGTGGTGTGAGGTTGAAGGTTGAATAATTCTTCCTACTCACAAATCTGAAATGTGGGCTGTTGAAAGGTTTCCGTTCCGTTTGCCCGTCTATTTCTTTTTGTGCTCCTTTAATGCCAGCATTTAACTGAACATTTTGATAGTCTCGCGTTGGAAGTCCTGTTCACTTCTCCTCTTGGCTTCTGACTCATGCTCATTCTTGCTTGTGTTCACATTCTGTCTCACCCATGCATAGCCCTGTTAACTTGCTTGAGGGAAGGGAGATAGGAGACGTGGAGAAAGCCATGCTCCTAGGCTGTTCACTGTAAAGCAGGGAAATGCTGCAGCTTTCCAAGTATTCATATTTTTTCTCTTTGTGAAAGTTTAATATGTCTTAGCAATTTGCTACATTTTAATGTACTTCTTCTAAGGCAGCCAAGTAAAATTTCCACTAGCAAATTCTAACAGTTCAGATGTCTTACACTGCACATAAGGCTTCCAGGCTGTTCTGTTTTGAATAACAATAAATTGAAGTAGGCTGACAGAGACAGGTGGGCTGCTGGGTACATGCCATGGTATGGGGAAGCCCAGGTCAGCCTGTGGGGCTGTGGGCTTGACCTAGGACTGGGCATGGAGGAGAAGGCCCTACACTTCTCCCAGGAAGGTTCTGTTGCTGGAAATGGACCACAAGGTTCATTGTTATCTGATGCAAAAGAAATAGAAAAGGTCTGTTTGCTCAGCTTAAAGTCTGCCTTTTTTCTTTCCCTGTTGCAGGAGACCATGATTAAGGTATTTTCCACTCAGAGGAACAAAAACTTTCTGCATTTTGGAGAGGAAAAAAGAGGTAAAGTATGTAATTCCCTGGGCTGACTCTGGAAGTTGTAACTGGATTTTGGTTTCAGTTATCTGTGACCCACAAGTATAACTTGAAAGAACAGTTGGGAAATTCTGCTTAAATACAAAGCCATATTCTACCCACCGGGATAACTGACCAACGTTCAGAGTCACTCTGATCAGGGCAGGTAGATGGCACTTTCATGAAAGCGCGCTAGCTGATTGGAGGAATGTTGGCTTGCCCACGAAGCAGATTTAACTTTTGAGTTCCAGAAAAGAACAATGAGAGATGCTGTCCTGTGCAAAAAGGAGGCGCTGTGCTAACCTGCATGTGGGAGAAACCTGTGAGAAGGGCCATCTAAGGACAGCGGCATCTGCTCACCTAGGCCCAGTCCCCTGCCCCAGGGATGTAGCAGCCGCTGACTGTGGCCTGAGGTGAGGCTGGGCCCTGGATGCATCCTGCTGAGTCTGCCCTTGTGCCCTGGGTGTGGTCCTGAGAGGATGATGTGACCTCATGTGCACTGTCAGGACTGTGGCAGCCATGGGATGTCATAGGGCTCTAGAAATCATCAGGTCGAATGCAGGAGACCATGCCAGTGGGGACAAGATGTCTTGGGACCCTGGCCAGGCCAATGGCAGGGGCAGCAGACCTTGCTGAAGAGTTAGTTATAGTCACACGAAAGAGGAGCAGTTGGTAAAACTGTCCCCTGAATTATTGAGTGGAAGGAAACTGAGTCTCTTTGTTGGTTCTGAGGTCCGCATTCCCCTATCAGGGTGGCATGCAGGCTGAGGGGGTTGCATCCTTGCTGTGGCCTGGTCACTCGGTGAGAGGTCTGCAGGCAGTTCCTGTGGAGCTTCAGACTGCCTGGAGAGGCTCAGAAGATTGATCGCATGATGGAGGCCTTCGCTTCTCGCTACTGCCTGTGCAACCCAGGCGTCTTCCAGTCCACAGGTCAGTGAGCCGGCTCACAGCCTGACCTCAGCTCTGCTTCAGGACAAAGGCCTGTGGCACAGGGCACTGTATTCCTGGGACCTTCTTTGCCTGTGCCAGCATAGTCTTGCCTGAGGTGCAGGGAGCCACTGTGCACAGGTTTCTGCTTTGCTCTTCCCTGTGGCCCCCACACTCCATGTCCAAACCTCAGCAGAGCTCAGGCTGCTGAGTCCCTCACTGTCCTCTGCCTTGTTGCAAACACATACTGTGTGCTGTCATTCGCCATCATCATGCTGAACACCAGCCTGCACAACCACAATGTGTGTGACAAACCCACTGTGGAGCGGTTCATCACCATGAACCGTGGTATCAACGAGGGGGACGACCTCCCTGAGGAGCTGCTAAGGGTGAGTCTGTGGGACTGAGCTGCTGAGCCTCCTCATGGTGGCGCTGTTCCTCTTCCTTCTTAACTGGGGACATTTTGAAACGCCCCAAGTTCTCTGCAGATGGCAGTGCTGGTTCATTCACTGTTTTTTTTTTTTTTTTTCCCCCTTTGCAGTATGGGGAATCAATTCAGGGGCACTCTCCCACTCAGCCACTTCCCCAGCTCTTTTTATATGATTATTATTTTTTAACTTTAAGACAGGGTCTCAACTGGTGGGATTCCTTGGTGGAACTCCTTCTGCCTCTGCCTCCCAGATTTCTGGGATTACAGGAGTGCGCCACCAGGCCCAGCTGGCTTATTTATTGTAAGTGCATCTCTCAAGTGTGTCTGGCTTACAAGTTCTGCTACTCTTTATGCTTAGTCTGTAGTGGAAGAGACAACAGAAAAAACAGTTGCTTCAACTCTGTGCATTTTTTAAAATTTGGTGCTATTTTACCCTTACAGAACTTATATGAAAGTATTAAGAATGAACCCTTTAAGATCCCAGACGATGATGGGAAAGATCTGATATAAATGTTCTTTAACTTGATGGGGAAGGCTGGCTCCTGAAGCTGGGTGAGCCTGCTGTGTGTGCCCTGTCCACAGCCCCCAGCCCGCCTGGCAGCTCCCTGGTCTCCCTCCTGCTCCTCATAGCAGAGGCCCCTATGCACAAGGCAGAAACGTAAAAAAGAGTGCAGTTGAACCAGAGCCCACTCTAAGCAGCCACACATCCCAGCACCAATGGCTGTTTCCCTGAACAGTGTCCTTTCTAAGCAAGCCATGGGCTCAGTGTCTATGGCAGGGACTTCACAACCCATCCCAGAAAACTGCTGAGTTAGTGTCCACCTAAGTGCAGGGCAGTTTTCTCTGCAAGAAGCAAGTACATTTACCTCCAAAGAACCTGTGTGCCTTCCTCTTGGTTTGGTGTGGCTGTGATTTTTGATGAGTGGTTTAAATGTGCCTTCTTGTTGTTTTCCTTCTGCCTGTGGCTCCCACCTTTCTGTTCTGTGACAGGCTGTCCCTGCTTGTCCTGCGTTAGGAGGTAGGTACCCAGTGGCTTCTCTCCCTTCCCCAGCAGCTCATTCCAAGTCTTCAGCTGCCTGTGGCTGCCTCTCCTGGGAGCCAAGCTCTTGACTGCCCCTCCTGCCCCTCTCTGGACCCCATCCCTGTTTGTGCCTGGCCCACACCCACATGCACCCACAGGTGGCGGGGCTACCTGGACCTGCTGCTACTCAGTATCATCATCTGCCTCCTCGTGCTGGTGGGCCTCATCCGCAGCTCCAAGGGCATCCTGGTCAAGTGAGTCTGGAGGTGAGGTGTACTTGTGGGAGGGATGGGTTGAGCACCTGAGGTACTGTCTCCCCATCATGGGTCTGTGTGGGACTCAGAGGCCTGCCCATGGTCTGCCCGAGGTCTACCCGAGCCTGCTCCAAGATGCCCAGTCTGGGTTGCCTCAGAAAAGTCAAGAGAGCTGGAGCCACCTGCCTAGGTCCCCAAGTGCTGGGGAAACCAGGAGATCAGGCCGGAGCTCCTGTGACCTCTGCCCGTGGACATGGAGGAGGTTTGGTTGGCTTCATTATTTACCAGGCTGGTGGCCTTAGGCAGGTGTTGTATCAGCTACCAGTCACTCCCCTTGGCCCAGAAATAGAAAGAGTGACAGCTTGCCCTTAGGGTGGCTCTGAGGTGATGTTAGTGTCCCTCCCTGAGTAATTGCATAGCCACATCCCAGCTCCTGTATGCACCTTGTGCAGGAAGGGTCCAGAGGACTCTCCAGCTCCTGCCCAGTGGCACTCCTAGGCCTAAGAGGGACAAATAAGTAAAATGAAGGTCACAGGTAATGAGAACTGGGGAGACGCAAAGCCTGGTCAGGTAGCAGGGCTGCGTGCACCTGGCATCCAGGGTTCATGAGCGTGGGGGTGGTGGAGTGGAGGCCCAGGCTTGGACAGCACACAGGCCTGCAGGTTGGGAGTGAACACAGTGTGGGAGCCAGGAGAGGTCAGTGCGGGAGGTCCAGCCCTGCAGGCAAGAGCCCACCCGCCCACGGTGCTCAGAGGGCTGCCCCTGGGGATGAAGCTTGGCAGGGCCTGGTCTGACCGAGGCTAGCAGGACCTTCATCCTGCTCTGTGAGGCAGACACTGGGACGGGGTGGGGTGGGGGTGGCCAGTGATGGAAGATTTGCCAGCCTGCACAAGGCCTTGGATTCCATTTCCAGCACTATAAAGAAAAAAAAGAGAGAGAGAGAGAGAGAGAGAGAGAGAGAGAGAGAGAGAGAGAGAGAGAGAGAGAGAAGGAAAGCAGAGACTCATCTGCTAAAGAAAGCGTTCTGGTGACAGGCCTAGCGACAGGAAAGGCAAAGCCCAGGAAACCTCCTGTTCTTTAGTCAAGGTGAAAGGGGAACCTGTCCAGGCCCTGGGCCTTGAGAGGGCCTGGTCTCAGCCAGAGGTCATGTCCTCAGGTGTACCTGGGTTTTGCCCTCCATCCATAGCCCAGTGAGTGGCATGACCTAGTCCCTAGCCTGGGAGATGCTGACTGACTTTCTTTGTCCCAAGGGTCTGCTTGCTGGGAGTGTTGGCCCTGGTCATCAGCTGGGGTGCCCTGGCTTTGGAGCTAGCTGTATCTGTGGTGAGTGGTGGAAGACCAGCAGTCCCCATCTGCTGAGCCTGGGTGGGAGGTGAAGGAAGCCAGTCTGTCCTCTCCCACCTTGTGCCAGGTCACTGGGTCCTTACCATGTGTACACAGCATATCCATACCCCCCGATTCGTACTCCACCTTCTTGAGCCAAAAGTGGACCCTGGGGTAGGTTCTACCCACTGAGGGCCCAGGGTACCGCCTCAGGGAAGGCCCAGCTAACTCCCTTTCTTGCCTGCGCCCACTCAAGGTTCCAGCGACTTCTGTGTGGACCCTGACACCTACGTGACCAAGATGGTGGAAGAGCACTCAGTGCGAAATGGGGGTGAGTCCGTGGCCCTGTCAGAGTTGGTCCTCCTGGCTGGACTGAACTGGGAGAGCCAGGTAAACAGGGCTGGTGTGTACAGAGAGGTGTCCCTGCCTTCATAGCCCTCGGTCTTTGAGAAGCTGGTGCTAGGCCAGGAAGCTAGGGAGCCAACAGGACTACCTTGGCCACCTTCCTGGAGCTGGGAGCCCAGTGCTGCTTGAGAGTGGGCAGTCTGGGAATGGAAGGCCTCCAACAGGTGGCACTGAAGTTGAGCCAGATGAGGCTGTATCTTGTGCAAAGGCCAGAGGCACAAATACTAGACAGCCCTGGACTTCCTGGGAGAGGAGAGGGTAGAGAGAGGCTAGCAGGACCAGGCCACAGGTAGGAGACTGGGCTTTATTCTGGAAGGGCAGAAGAGAGATGTGAGTCATGATGGAGTAGCCTCTTCAAAGCTTCTTTGGGCTCTTGGGATGACAAGGACCTGGGGCATGGCTTTTGGACTCCTAAAGACAGGAGTGGCTTGAATAAGTAGGATGGGGCATGGACAGGGGTGCGCTTTGGGGGTGAGGCTGGTGGGACTTCCTGATGAGCTGTACAGCTTCTACATTGGGTCTGACAGGCTTTGAGTTCCTGGAGGCTCAGATTGGAGCACAGATCCCAGGGCTGAGTGCAGGTGCTGTCACTACACCAGCCCCAGTCCACATAGGTGGGGGCCCTGAAGGATCTCTCTGGAGGCCACAGCTCACACATGTATGTGTATACAATCACATATATACATGTGTGCACATGCATACATGTGTATGCACACATTTGCACCACACACACATGTGCACACAGACATAGCACCCAAGTATACACATGTGGACACATGCAGGCACACACTTGAAGACGTGTGCACACACACAGACACCTTACACAGACTCGCACAGTCTGCCACCTCAGCCCACCTTGCCCTCTCTCCGCAGACATTCTGCAGTACTACCTGGCCTGCTCGCCCTATGCTGCCAACCCCTTCCAGCAGGTGAGAGCCAGCCCTGTCCTGAGAGGCTGGGCCAGGTGCAGGGGTGGGGAGAGCCCAGGGCACAGTGTCTATGGAGAGGCTGAGCAGACCCTGTTCTGGCCTTTGTAGCCCACACATCCACGGCCCACAGGCTCCACAGAGGCAGAGCAGAGCAGCCAGGTGAATGCTGGGTTGGCCTCACTTGCTGCCCTGGGACTGCCACACTGTCCCCCTGGCACAAACCTTTTCTTGTGAGCTGCTTAATGCCACCACTGCCCTGGACTCCTTTCACTCCGTGGGCTGTCCAGGGCAACTCCTAGGGGGCAGGGGACAGGCTGTCCATTTGGGTATCCTGGTGGTGAGATTTGGGGGTAAGCACCACTGCTCAAACCCTTTCCCTGCTGCCAGTTGCTATACGGGATGGCATGACTCTCAGTCCTGAGCGCTGTCTGCCTCAGGACTTTGTTCTCTAGAGTGGGCACAGGGTTCCCATCACCGTGTTGGGCTGTTTGGCCCCTGGGTGTGTAGGCAGCTGGAGAGCAGGATGAGTCCTGGAGCCTGAGGGCAGAGCTGGCCACCTGGGACTTTGCAGGCTGCCTGGGGTGGGTGGGGAGGATGGGCTGTCCAGCTGCTGGAACTTACGCCTCTCTGTGGAGCAGAAGCTGTCAGGCAGCCACAAGGCACTGGTGGAGATGCAGGACATTGTGGCCGAGCTTCTGAGGAACGTCCCCCGGGAGCATCCCGCCACCAAGGTGAGGGGCTACAGAGCCCAAGAGGGGCTCTGGGGGACTGTAGGAGTCCTGTTTCCTACACCTGTTCAAATGGTCTTTCTTTTCCTCTTCTCCTTCCATTTTTTTTCCTTTTCCTTGGGGATTTTGATAGAATTTTAAAAAATAATTATGTTCTTTATTTTCAAAGTAATAGAAACTCTTTCTGTTAAAAGAAATGGGGACTAGGGACATAGCTCAGTGGCAGAGCACTTGCCCACCATGTGTAAGGCCATACCCAGCGCCACAGGAAGACACCAGACTGACATTTGTACCTCATATTCCCAGAGGTTAGGCTGCAAGCCCAGGGTCAAGGTATGGCTGGGCCGATCCTGCTGGAGGCTGCCTTCCTTGGATTATAGATCCTGTCTTCTCCCCAAGTCCTCACGGGGTCATTCCTCTCTGTGTGTCTCTGTATGACACCAGGCATAGTGGGCCAGCACCTAACCCCTGGTGACCTCATGTCTAATGCCCTTTCTGTAAGCACAGTGATCTGAGGTTCTGGGTGGGACCTCAGCACAGGAGTTTTAGGGGACACAATGCAGCCCACAACAGGTTCTCTTTTCTCAGGATCCCAGCGGGTCCTTAGAGAAAGTGTTACAGCTGCAATCCTGGCACTCAGGGAAGCTGAAGCAGAATGAGCACAAATTCAAGCCCAGCCTGGGCAACTTAGTGACTTAGCAAGACCTCATCTCAAAATAAACAAAGCCATGGGGATGTAGCTCAGTGCAAAGGCCCTGGGTTCAATCCCCGGTACCACAAAAAGAAAAAAAGAAGGGAAGAAAATATGTGACAGGAAGCAGTGCAGGGTCAAGCTGGTGATCTGGAGGAGCCACAGTCCACCTGCAGGTGTTTCTGCTTGGCCATGTCCCCGTGTGTGAGACAGGGCTGGAGGTGTCTGTGCACGTGTGCACATAGAACACATGGGACGCTGTCACGGGTGTGTAACAGAGTCAGGCTGTCTCTGTGCAGTTTTTTGTACAGTTTTGTCACTTGAGGTAGTGTGAGGACTTTCCTTTGTCTTCCACTGTTCCTTAACTAGGACTTTACCTTTTAGCACTGGGGGCTGAACCCAGAGCCTTTGCACTGAGCTGTATCCACAGTCATTTTGGTTTTCAAGACAGCTTCTTGCTAAGTTGCCCACACTGGGCTTGAACATATCGTCTTGCTGCCTCAGCTTCCCAAGTACCTGAGATTGCAGGTGAGTGTCACCAGGCTTGGCTACTTGAAGTAGAATTTTTCAAAGCTTAGCCTGTCCTCTTCGGTGGCATGCAGTAGCTGTCTGTTCTCTCATGATAAGGGAGATCTGTCTTCATATAGTAATGACAATGGACAGGTATCCATATGTCGCCTGTGCCTGCAAGTCCAGGGCAGACTCCAAGATCACACGTGCTAAAAGCTGGGGTCCTCAGGGCCTGTGCCAAGGTGGAGTGGTCAAAGGTGGTTTCTGGGGCAGGTTGGGAGGCTCTCAGCCTGGGTCTCCGCATAGTGCAGTGTTGACCTTGAGTTTCACTTGCTCCCAGGACCCCCTGCTCCGTGTCCAGGAGGTGCTGAACGGCACGGAAGTGAATCTGCAGCACCTCACCGCCCTGGTAGACTGCCGCAGCCTGCACCTGGTGAGGGCCACAGCGGGCAGAGGGTGCCGAGGAGGTCAGGAGTCAGAGCAGCCTTGTGGGTTTGAGGGGAACTGTGGGGCAGGGAAGAGGTCAGGGGAGCTGGGAGCTAAGGGTAGAGGGGAGCTGGGGAGAGGGCAGGAGTGGCCCTTGAGAACAGCAGACTCAGTAGGTGATGGGGGCCTCAGCCCAGCCTGGCATCAGGGCATCCAGGCTGCTATAGCTGAAGCTTGCCTGGCCCGTCCATCTCACACTTTCTGCCCTTGACTCTGTGTCCCTGTTCCCTCTCCCTGTGTCTCGTCTCTGCTGGCTCAGGACTACGTGCAGGCACTGACGGGCTTCTGCTATGACGGCATCGAGGGCCTCATCTACCTGGCGCTGTTCTCCTTCGTCACAGCCCTCATGTTCAGTTCCATCGTCTGCAGCGTCCCACACACCTGGCAGCAGAAGAGGTGAGCCTGAGCAGGTCCTGAAATGTGGCCCAGCTGTCTTTGGGACGGGGTCCTGGAGACTCCAGCTCATGGCCCCAGAGGTGCAGGTCTCTGCTCCAGCTGAGTGCTCCCATTCCACAGAGGAGCTCAGCCAAGGAGGGGCACCAGAGTCTCCTGTGCCCTTGGCTTGGCCCTGTTCCCCCATGCTGAGGAGCGTGCTCACAGGTCACTATTCCTAAAGGCCAGGTCCTCGGGTGCAGGGGTACAGAATGGTGGATGGATCTCGGCTATGTGATCTCCTGAAGGGGCAGTTCAGGTGGCTGTGGCCTCTGCTGGGCGACCAGGATCGGCCAGATGCAGCTCCCATGGAGCCACTCTGTCTGTATCTTTGAGGTGGGGTTCCTGGCAGCCCCTGCCTCAGGTTCCTCATTTAATCCTGGGTTGAGTGGGCGTCAATTCTGGTTGGAGGGCGTCGAGCTCCTTCCCTTACAGAAGCCCCGTGGTCCATCTCCCGAACCTGCTGCCTCTCCTCCCATTTGGGCTGCGGCTGCTTCTTGGTGCCCAGCTTGGATGGCAGGTAGCTCAGATCTGATTTATTCCCTTTGCCTGGATTTTTGTTATTTTCTCTTGTGATGATGACGATGTTGCTGGTGGTGATAGACATTGGTGGCTATGGTGAGGGTGAAGGTGGTGATGATAGTGGTGGTGACAGTGATGGTTAGTGGTGGTGATGATGGTGTTCATCATGGTGATGGTGAAGGGGTGACAATGACAGTGATGCTGCGGCAGTGATAATTATGGTGGTGTGGTAGTGCTGGTGGTGATGGAGGCTGTGGTAATAAAGATAGCAGCTCTAGTGGAATGGCTAAGAGCACAGCACTTGAACTGGATGGCTGTTTTCTCCCTCCTGGAGCAGCAGACAGCTGCCTGCCCAGAATCACCCTCCCCTCCTGGGGTGACCTTCAGCCTGCCCGTCCTCCAAACCCCTTTTTTATGCTGGTGTTGGGACCAAAAGGGATGGGCAGGGGCGGTGGCAGACCCTGGGCCTCCATCCTCAGTGTTTGAGCCCCCCAGTGTGATCAAACCTCAGCGGAAGGGACTGTCCTGCTCCAGGTGGGGGCCATGGAGACCTGCTCGGCCTGCTGCTGGCGTGTTTCTGACCTTGGGGCCGGAGGGCAGAGCTGCGGGACCTGCTCAGAAGCACAAGCGCTGCCAGTGGCCAAGAGCCACACACAAGGTGAATGTATATAGCATGAGAGGTGGCCGCTGCCTGGATGTGGCCGTGAGCCTGTTATCTCAGGAGTCCTGAGATATTTTATTTTTCTTGGCAAATACTAAAAATCTTCTCAATGTAATTTCTGTGGTTTCTATTCAGCTTGGGTTTCATGTTTTAAAATAAACATTTTAATGAACAGGTGACTTCTGAGTTTGTCAGGAAGGTCTCTCTCTCTAGGCCCCTTGTAGGGTGAGGCAGGGGACTCAGCTGGGTGGGGACAGACCAACAGGACTGAGGAGTCAGGGAGAAGACCTGATGAGCCCCAGGAAGGCACCAGGCCTGGGTGAGGGCTGTGGCCGCAGTGAAGATGGTGGGTCCCTGGGTAGATGGGGCCTTGCAGGCCTGCAGCTGGCCCCAGGGGTTGCAGTGGGCATGGCGGTGTGGTCATAGATCTGGAGAGCCTGGCTTTCCAGTCTTACCCCCGGGTGTAGGATGGGGAGGGACTGCTGGGAGGCTGTGAGAGGCCCCTAGCAAAGGTGACTGCCCTGACACAGCACAGGCTTGGTGGAAGAGCTGAGGACCAGGACGGAGCCCGGGGAAGTCCACTAGTCTCTTCATCCTTCCAGAAGCAGCACCTGCACTGCAATGAGTCCTCCACCGCTGTGGGGAGAATGGCTTTCTGTTTTCCTAAGAAAAGCAGGTTCCAGCGCATGAGGCAGCTGCTCCCCAGGCCATGCAGTAGACAGTCGTGAGGTGGCAGCACCTATCGCCCAGGGAGACATCAGATCCATGAAGGTAGGGCCTTTGGCCATCAGTGTTTGGAGCCTTGGAAGACACCTGGGCCCTGGCTCCCAGCTTGGGCTCATGTGGACACCAGGAGGAGATCACCAACAGCCTCTACCAGAACTTTTAAGATTGACTGTGCAGCTGGGTGTGACGGTGCACACCTGTAATCCCAGGACTCAGAGGCTGAGGCAGGAGGATCACAGATTAAACTCCAGCCAAGGCAACTTAGTGATTTAGTGAGACTCTGTCTCAAAATTAAATAATTAAAAATAAAAAAAAGAAACTTGGGATGTGGCTCAGGGCAAAGGTACTGAGTTCAGTCCCCTGGATCAGAGGAAAAATAAAACATCCTGGTACCTAGTAAGGGGTGATCTGCTCACCCCGAAGGTGTTAGGCTTGGCACTGTTCTGGGTGCCCTGTGTAGCAGTGGAGCACAGCTCTGCCCCACTGATACTCCAGTGGGAGCAGAAAATAGTCAGAAGGTGACAGAACCGGTGTGAAAGCATAAGTGCTGCAGGACAAAGAGCCCTGGCTCTTTGGGGCAGGCAGGGCAGGCGAGCTTTTGACAGTCAGGGAAGCCTCCCTGTACCTGCAGGGGTCCCAAAGAGACTGGAGGTGAGGGCTCCCGTGAAGCCCCACTGCTGCTGCTACAGCTCACTACGAACTCAGCGGGTTTAAAGCAGCTGTATTACCATACAGTTCTGGAGGTCAGAAGCTCCTTTGAGCTCTGACTCAAGGTGTTCATAGGGCTGTGTCGCCTTTCCTGGGGCCTCCAGGGGAAAAAGCCTAGGAAGATGGCCTCCTGCCCTTTCCAGCTTCCAGAGGTGCCCACATTCCTTGGCCCTGAGCCTTTGCCTCCATCCTCAAAGTCAGCAGCATTCTGACAATGCCCCTCCCCTCTTGCCTCCCTTTTATAGTGCAGGCTCCTTGTGGTTCCATCCAGCCTACCTGATTAATCTACAGTAATCTCAAGATTCCTTTTGCCATGTAAGGTCACATGATCACAAGTTTCTAGAATAGGATGTGAATATCTTTGGGGGCTATTCTGTCCACCACAGAAACTTGCCTTAGGGCTATGTAAGCAAACAGGGTTCCAGGCAGGCAGAGCAGCCAGGGCAAAGGCCCTGAGGCAGAGCCTGCTGAGGTGCTTTGACTAAAATAAAAGTGGCTGGAGAGAAGAGAGTAGCTAGGAGTTGGAGGATTACAAAGAGCTTGTGGGTCTTGTGAGGACTTTGACATTTATCTTGAGGGAGCTATGGCAGGTCTGAGCAGAGTGATGTCCATTTTAACAGGATCATCCTGGCTGCTGAGGGGGAAGGGGACAAAGCAGAAGCCGCTGACCAGTTAGGAGGCTCCTGTCATGGTGCAGGTCAGAGCCGATGGCAGCAGGGCTGGGGCAGAGCTGGGACTGACAATCACGCTGGCTTCTGGAAGGAAGGTATGCTAACAGCTCTTCCTAGCAGGGCAGCTAAGGAAGTGGGGTTTGGGTCAAGCAGTTGGGGCAGGATTGTCATAAACTGAGGGCACGGGTTTGACAGCCCAACAGGCCAGAGGTCCAGCTGTGCCCATACTGAGTCAGAGGTCTTCTGACATCAGCATGCAGGGATGAGGGCTCAGGGAAGAGCCCTGTTGGTGTCTGGAGGAAGCTCGGGTGCAGGTGTGCTGGGTGCCACGTGAGGACAGCACGTCAAGGGGAATGAAGCACACGTCAAATGAGACTGATGGTCAGCGATGGCAGATTCAGTGACCTGGATGCTGAGTGGTCCCAGACAGGGCTGACGAAGCCCAACAGCGGGTGCTGGGTAGCAGCTGGGGAGAGGAGCAACTGGAAGACAGAGGCAACCAGCCTTCTGAGGAAGTGAGCTACAAAGCAGAGAAACAGTGACGCTGTTTGCGGGGCAGGGCAGAGAGGGGCTGTGTGTGTGTGTGTGCGTGTGTGTGAAGGTGGGAGATGAGTGCTCACTGGTAGGGCTGATGGGGCCCGCCCAGCACAGAAAAGAAAGCGACTGTCCGGGAGCAGGGGAAAAGTAATTGGTAAACTATTTTTTCCCCAGCACTGTGGTTTGACCTCAGGACCTTTACACTGAGCTACTTCCGCAGCCCCTCGCACCCCATCCACTTCTGACACAAGGTCTTGCTAAATCGCCCAGGCTTTTCAATCCTTCCACTTCACCTGGAAGTGGTGGCCCTGCTCCTGTCACCTGCTGGGATTATACGTGTGTGGCACCCCACCCGAACAGGATTTCTTCAGTAGTCAAGGAGGGCTGGGAGCCAGGGGAGGCCTGGCTACAGACACATGTGACCATCCCTGGCATGGGGGCTGGGCGGTGGGTTGGCACAGGCCGGTGAAATAGGCAGCAAGGTGGTTAGAGACTGGAGAGGGGGTAGGTGTGCAGGAGAGGGGTTGGGAAGCACTACTGAGGGCCCCCTCAATAGTGAGGTCCAGAGTCTGGAACAAAATGAGACTAGCCAGGGGCAGTAGTCATTTTTCTCCAGTCACATGGAGCCCCTAGAGCAGGCGGCCGGCTCCTGTGACCAGGTCCCGGGCGCTAGCCTGGCCCACAGGAGAGAAAAGCAGCAATGGGAGTGGAAGGTGAGCTCAAGCCTGCAGTGCCTGAGATTTCAGCCAGGCGAGAACAAACCGTGGAAGGGGTGATGGGAGTGAAAGACTCCTTAAGGTCAGGGGACACCTGGAGGGCTGGCCAGCAGGTGGAGGCAGAGCAGATGGGGCGGCAGGGAGGGCGGAGGCTGTGGGGGCGGGGTGGAAGGGGGAGAGCGGCTACGCCAGGACTCAAGGCTGGATGGGACAAGGTGTGCAAGAGCCAGGAGCCAGGAGCCAGGAGCCAGGAGCCAGGAGCCAGGAGCCAGGAGCCAGGAGCCAGGACTTGAAATCCCTGAGCAAGGAGCCTGTGAATACTCCAGGGGAGCAGGGATTGAAAACCGGAGAGGTGCAGGGACCGGCAGGTGCCAGCAGGGGGCGCTGGGTCCTCGGCAGCAATTGGCAGCGGGGGTGGGAGAACTCCACCGGGTCCCAGCCCTGGAGTCCGGCGATCAGCATCCCCACAGGGACCCAGAGGTGCTGTGCCGCTCAGCTGGCAGGCAGCCTGCTGGAGAGGAGGGCACGGTCCCCCTGTGAGGACGCTGTCAGGCACCTCTGGTTTAAGACAGCAGGAAGAGTCGGGCTCCCTGGGGCCGCTGGTTCTGCTCCAAGGCTAAGCACTCCCCATTCCGCATGGCAGATGCAGGTAAATATGCTCCGTGTCATTGAAACGGTGTGTGCAGTGGCTTCGAAGAGCAAACTCAAGCTGTAGTGGTCACTTCTTTCCTCCCCTTGGCCTGCACACCTAGGGCCAGGCCAGTCTCAGAAATGGCAGGATTCAGACGGGAGATGCCACCGTTGCCGCCAGACGGCGCCCAAGGACTGTGACTGGTTGTAGTGCGGGTGTAGAGGCTGGAAACTGGGTGCTAGGCTATCTGGGGGGGAACAGCTACAACTCTGGGCCCCCTTTATTCTAGGCAACATCTAGGGGTCCAGGTGAGGGGACTCCTGGACCCTGAGTCCCTCCTGAGAATGCCCCAAGTGCCTTCTGGGGAGGTTGGTGCTGGGCTCAGAAAGTAGACTTAGGAGGGGTCACCTCCAAGAATGCCAGTAAGGCTGGTCTGGGGTGGCAGATGGTCCTCTGGGTGGCAGGGGTCTAGCCACTTTGTCTCACTCACAGGGGCAGGGTCTAGGCCTGAACCCCTGCTTCCCTCTGACAGGTCCAGAGAAGGGGCTTGGAGAAGCCACCCAGCAGGCCTGGTCTGCCTCCTGCTTGCTACTTGGAGTGGAGGAGGTGCGGCAGGAGGACCTGGGATCCCGGCTCCACTGCCATCCTGCCTGCCAGCCTTCCAGGCCTCCAGCCAGTGCCCCCGCTACACCTTTCCCTGGTCCATGCCAAGGGGAATGCCCAGCTCTCCCCACTTCACAAAGCCTTCCCACTGCAGCCAAGAGATGCGTTCTCAAGGATGTCAGCTTTGGGGACCACAAGGGGAGTCTGTGTACCCCAGACTGCAGGCCACGGCACACACCCCTCCCACCCAACTCACCTGGAAAGTGGAAGCTGAGGTTGGAGGCTGTCTTTCCCCCTCCTTGAGGACCCAGCAACCTGTAGTTTTACTTTCCAGTTTCACAAATGGTGGGCAGTTTTGGAAGGAGCCAGCCAGGACTCCTGACTGGCCCCAGCCTGGGATGCCAGTGTGTGTGGGGGTGGGGGGGCCATCCCGGGAACCTGCCTGAGGGGACACACAGTTCCTCTCATGCCTGGGTGGCTCAAGAGCCCCTTCCTCACCCTGAGGGGCCTGCCCAACTAGGGCCCCCCTCCTTAACTGGCTTCCCCTTCTGACAGGAGCAACTTCCCTACTGAGCTTCTCCCTGGGACAGGAAAGGCCCGAGGCTGCCGGTGTGTGTCCCTCCCAAAACCCTCCCCACCAGCTACCATTTCTGATGAGGCCCAGGCTGGGGAGGGCAGGGCACCCTGCACACTGCTGTTCCTATTTGGGGCCATACAGCCAGCTGCGACGATGGACAGACTGGTTCCAGTGCTGACAGTCCACTTGTCCCAGGTGTCCACAGAGCTGTCTTGGCCACTATGTCCTGCCACACCTTGCTTCTCCATCGCCCTCCTGTCTACAGCTCTTTCAGGGAAGTTGCTGAGGCCATGTGGGGGACCAGGCGGAGAGCACCCCGCCTCTGACTCACCCATGCAGGAAACAGGCCCCTGGGCTGTGCCCACAGCCTGTTCCGCTGTGACACCCCCGCCCACCCAAGTGTCAACTTCCTTGTCCAAAAGACTATTGAACCATCCAAGAGTACATGGCCATCATCTCTGCCAGGCCCTGCACTCTTCCTACCAGGGACAATAGCAGCAAAGTCTGGGGGTGCCTGCACCAGAGGTCAGGACAATAGGGGTGTGAGGCTGTGCTTTCCTTCCACTCTGACTTAGCCACTGCCCACACCCCACAGTGCCACAGCCTTTAGAAACCACACCGTGTTGCTGACTCAGGCCTCTCCATGCCCAAGCCTCAGCCACAGCAGCCACTAGCAGAAGCTAAGAGGAAGAGCCCAGTTGAGGGTGCTGTGCCCATGGGCACGTGTCTGGCAGGGCAGAGGAAGGGGCGAGTGAAGGTCTCCGGTGTCAGGGATGGGCAGGTATCTTTCAGAGAGCTCCGCCTGGCTGAGGATTTAGCTCAGGATTTTGCCTGGTAAGCATGAGGTAAGGAGTTCGATCCCCGATACCAAAAAACAAAACAAAAAAACCAAAGAGCTCTGCCTGGAACAGTAAGCCGCAGAAGCACAGTAAAATGGGGGCCCTGGGGGTAGGCACCTGCGTGTGGGGGGAGCAGAGGGTGGGGAGGGGGCAGCTCAGTCTTGAAGAGGAGGAAGTGAGGCAGCAGGAAGGGGGGTGGGGAGGGGATTCCCCAGATGGAGGCTAGATGTCCCTCAAATGCTAGATTTGAGGAAGAAAGGCTGATGCAGAGCTGCTGTCCTTAGATGAGGCCCAGTTCCTGGGACTTTCGAAGGTCAGGGCAGGTCAGTCAGCAGCAGACATTTGGGCACTGCCATCCTAGGAGGGTCTCTCCAAACTCCACATGAGGAGAGAGAGTGGATCTAAATGTCAGCAGCTCCAATGCCTGATCTTGGGCATTGTCTGCACTGGGCCTCAGTTTTCTCATCTATAGAATGGACTCTGTGGGCTTGTGATGAAGGTGGCCAGGGAGGTGCCTGGCTCAGCCACAGTGGTAGTCACTGATCCTCTTACAGAATGAAATGGACTTCAGAGCCTAAGGCTGCTCCCTTGGTGGGGTCTATAGCCCCTGATGCCTGCCCACCAGTGACCACCCTGCACTGGGCTGGTCAATCCTGTCAGGTCCAGCCAGCAGATATTTACTTGCGTACGTACGTACACATGTATGTGCATGTTTGAGGCAGGGTTTTGCTATGCAGTACAGGATGGCCTGGAATTCTCAGGTAGCACAAACTGGCCTCAAACTCAGCAGTTTTCCTGCCTCGGCCTTCTGAGTGCTGGGATTACAGGCGTGCACCACCATGTCCTCTTTGAATCCCAAATTTCCTTCCAAAGTACTTGGCTTGTAGGTCTTCTGTGTTTTGGGAACTGGGGCTTGAACCCAGGGACTTTGTGCCGAGCTACATCCTCAGACCTTTTTACTTTGTGAGACAGGATCTCAATAAATGGCCCAGACTGGGCTTGAAATTGCAGCCCTCACCCCTGCTCCCAGTGTGCTAGGGTTACAAGATGCACCCCCAGCTGGGTTTTCCACTTGCCTACACACTGTGAAGCAAACCACGTCTTCCCTTCCTTTACCTCTTGGCCCCCTGGAACCAACAGATGGACCTGGACGCAACTTCAAGCCAGGACCCAGAGCCTGGGCTGCTGCAAAGAGCACCTTTATTCACAGCAACAGGACATCACCATGGCAACAACACTCCAATTCCCTGAGAGCTTCTCCCTTATCCTCCACTTTCCTAGCTATGTCTTTGCAAACAGAACACAGAACGCAGGACACACCCTAAGGCCAGGTGAGCCACACTGAGCCAGGTGGTCTGGGGAGGAAAGGGGAGGGCGATTCCAGATACTGGAACACATAAATACAGAGCAGGTTAGACATTCCCCGGTCAGCTTTACAAACAAAGGGATCCCAAGTTTGGCTTCTGCTTTTTCTGATCCACAGAAAACATAAAATAAGACCCTCCCCACCCCGAAAAAACATGCAACACCCTCCCCTTAACCCACCCTCTGTCAAAAACAGCACAGTAAAAAAATACTGTCACAATATTTACAGGCACGCCCACTGTGGGCGACATTCTCTCTACTTTGGAGAGGAGATAAAATACTCAGCTCTGACTCCCCCAATCAGGGGAGACAAAGCAGGATCTCAGGGGGCTGGGAAGGCCCCCAGCCCAAGAGGGCTGTTCACTAACTGCACAACCACCAGGGGACTCCTGGGGTCACTGGGATGGGCAGTGGCTCCTGTTACTCAGAGCCACATGCAGTGCCTGAACTACCAGAAGGGGTGCAGGCCTCACCCCCAAATCAGCTTCCTCTGCTCCAAGCATGGCTCAAGACTCCAGGGCCCATGCTCAGTTAGGAGGGGAACCCATATCCTTGCAGAGAAGCCCTGAGCAACAGAGATCCAAACCTCATAACAACACAGAGCTGCCCAGAGGGAACCTCAAGGAGCAGAACTGGTCGGCAGCCTGCTGCCTGGTGAGCATGTGACACACACACAGGAGTGAGACCCTGGGGGCTTTAGAGCCAAGGCCAGGGCAGCACAACAGAGGTCCCTGGGTCCTCTGGATACCAGGGGCACCCAGGGACAGGGGTCTCAGCCATGGCTGCTAGAAGATGGCGGTGCGGGGACACCAGGGTGTGTCCGGGTACAGGTGACAGTGGATGGAGCGGAACCTGCAGGGACAGAGTGGAGGGCTGGTCCATGTAGGGCACGGTGCCAAGTGCCACTTGCAGTCCTGCAGCACCTAAGAACCCCCCACCCCCAAGAAAAGAGCTGAAGACAGTAGCCGTGGTCCTGCTGGGACCCCAGTCTCCTCACCTGGATGGGTCAGCCTCTACTGAGAAGGGGCCCTTCACATGGACAGCATTCCGCTTGTTTTCAAACATGCCATAGCTCAGGGTCACCTGTGTGGGAAGGGTCAGGTGATGCTGGAGGGGCCCAACAGTGCCTGGGCCCTAGACAGGGTGACACCCTGACTGGCTGCTCAGGAATGGAGGAATGGAGTCCAGAGTGGGGGCTGCAGGGGAGTATCTACTGACTCTGAATGAAAGGCCCAGAGTACATGGGATCCCCCAAAGGTGGAAGAGGAAGGGATGGCACTGGCGGAGACCCTGGCCCAGTGGCAGCCAGTAATGGGGCTCTCCCTGACTTCCTTGATTTACTTTTCTTGTGGTTCTGGGGATTGAACCCAGCACCTTAGTTAGCACTGAACTACATCACCAGCCCTTTTTAATTTTTATTTTGAGACAAGGTCTTTCTAAATCACTAAATTGCCTGGGCTGGGTTCAGACTCATGAACTATCACTCCTGCTTCAGCCTTCCAGACTGCTGGGATTGTAGTCATGCACCACCTGGCTTGATCTTTTCTTTAAAATAGAGCCATCCCAACTCGTGCCCTCTGGGCTCTACCCCTCACCCCTCACCCAAGTCCCTCCAGGTTCTGTGCTCAGCCCTTCCTGCGCTCATTCAGTCCTGGCCAGGCCCAGGGACGCACACCTGCTCATGGAGCTCAGAGGCAGGCACCTGCTGCAGGTTCTCCAGGTGCGAGTGGAAGAGGCCACTGCGAATGAGGGGCACGCCCAGCAGAGCTTCCACAATGTAGCCCACAGTGCAGTCGTCTGGCAGCCGGATGCGCTCCGCAGTGCTCATGAAGTGGCCTCCGCTGCAGGGGGAAGGGTGGGGACAGTAAGCAGGGGCAGCTGCCTGTGAGGGGTCTGGGAGGGCTCCACAGACCGGGCAGAGAAGAGGCAGACGCGTCTGCGGGGCAGGGTGAAGAACATGCTGAGTCTCCTGCCCTGGTGCCACTTCCTCCTCCACACCAGTTCTGAGGCTCCTTGGTTCTGAGTGTGCGTGGCGGTTTCTAACAGAGGAAGAGGCCCTGTCCAATGGGACATGGCGTGTACTGCCCCTGGTGCCTGTTCTGGGCAGGGCCGCTGTGGAAGAAGTGGCCCTGAGTGCAGCTGCCCCTGAATCCTGGGGAAGGAGAGGGCAGGAGGCAGGCAGAGCCAACACACAGGCCAGGACCCCACTGCAGGGAGGACTAACCAAGGCAGGCCCCGCAGTTCCACAGCGCACTCACCTGGCCCATGGGCTCATTTTCAGCGCCAGCCCTCGGCTAATGCAGAAGCCAGCCCCACCAGTGGCAAACCAGAAGTGAACAGGACGCTGGGGACAGGAAATTGTCATGAGGTCGCAGGACAGGATAGAGACCAGCTCCAACCCACCCCAGGCTCATGGAACTCACCACCCTGTTCTCACTGACACGCTCGGTGGCCTGGATGGGCCGGTCCAGGCTGGGCTTGCCAATGTAGATGTCTTGGGTATGTGGGTAGCTGGCCAGCAGCCTCAGCAGGGCGCGCAGGTTGACATAGTTGTCATCATCCACATGGCAGAACCATCTGAGGGCAAGGCAAGGCTATGAGGAGGGCACCTTCAGACAGGGGAAGGTGCTGGTGGGCGTGGGCAGGGCAGGAGAAGCTCCTGGGGCCAACTCACTTCCTCCCGGACTCAATGAAGTGGTCATACTCCACAGCCATCTTGCAGGACAGCGCCTGGCGGCTGTGAGCAGCTGAGCAGTTGGTGTTGACCACATTGCCTGCAGGGGTGGGGGTGCTGTGAGGGCCTGGGCACCAGCAGGGTCCCCCAGGGGCCCCCCTCACCCTAGTGCAAGGCTGAGGCCCATGGACCCTCCCTCAGCCCGCCCCCTCCCCAGGACGCCCCGCCCCTGCCCATTCAGCCAGCTTTTTCCCAGCACCCGCCACCTGTTGCCGCTGGCCAGGCTCAAAGGGACCTTGGGGGCTGAAAGGGCCTTGTTTGCATGAGAATTGGGGGCCCCCGAGTGGTGGGGCGGAGCGTTGAGCAAACCCTTGAGTAAACTGCCCTCCTACCTCTCGGCCCCTGACCCCTTGGCCACTGTAGAAGAGGAAGGAGGGACATTTGCTCTGAAAGAAGGCACCCCCTCCTTGCCCCAAGCCCCCCAAGCCCAGGGCTCACCCGTGTGCCTAGCCAGCACTTCATCCTCCCCGTCGGTGAAGATGAATGTCTAGAAGAAAAGACACGACCCTGAGCTGCAACTTAGTGTCTGCCCCTGGGCCACGGTGGGGTGGTGGGCAGTGCTGGGTCCCCTGGAGTTGCAGCTGCAGCTCTGGACATCCCCTCCCCACCTCTGCCCCTCTGCCCGTACCGCTTTCCCCTCCTGCAAGAAACAGTGCTCAAGTACCCAGGGTGAGTGGCAGCTGGATGGGGCCTCACTCTCTAACCTTGACAGCTGGGCCCAAGGTCCCCTAGGCAGCTGGGAGGCACGAGCCAGGTGGGTGCCCCACCAGGTAAACGGCTCCTCACCAGCTCGCCCTGTGCACCTGGTGGCACACACCCTTATTGACACAGTGCCTGCCTATGGGCTTCAGGGTCACAGGAGTGGGTAAGGGACAGGCGGGGGGGAGGGGGCAGGCAAGAGCTTTGGGAAGCCAAGTCTCAGTCACTTGGGTCGGGGACAAAGGCCTCTGTTGGGTGGCTGCCAAGCCCTGGCAGACAAAGGGCCCAGAGGGAGGATGAATCACCAGGCATTGTCGGCTGGCTTTGTCCTGGGCCTAGTGGCAGGGGTGCAGGAGGCCTTAACTTGGAGGAGAGTTAAGCAGGAGTGGCCATGCGTCATTACCATACAGCTGGCTTGGTTAACTGGGCCAGGCTGGGCAAGAGGTCCTTGGCAGGGGTGTGGCCACCAGCACTGCAGCCCAAGGCTGCGCCATTGAGCAGATTCCCCAGTGTGTGACCAGTGTGATTGGTTACCCTCTGCCAAAGCTGTCCCCAAGGTTCTGTGAGATGGTGTTGGTCAGTGTGGTGGTGGCAGGAAAGGGCCTCCTCACCCCACCCCAGTCCCCAGTTGAGGTCCCAGACCCCCTCCTGTTGTTCAGGCAAGGTAATGGCTCATTGGCAGAGGACTGTGCCCTACCCAAGGCCACAGCAAAGCTCCACCTGTGCCGGCACACAGCCATCCTGCACCCTGCCAGGATTGCTCTGCAGAAGAGGAGGGGGCCGCTGGGGTGGGGTGAGGAGCTGCCGGTGCTGGCCTGGGCCCGTTGGCACACGGGGAGGTATGTGCCTTCCTCTGCGGGCCCCGCCCAGCGCGTGCCGCCTGCCATGCCCCACAGGACTGAGCGCCAGCCTGGGGCGAGCGGGGGTGCTCTGCGCAGACAGTGGGGGGCTCCCATACCCACCAAGCCTTAATTTCCTTTTGTGTACACACAGCTCCAAGGGAGGCTCCAGGGCTTGTGGGCCTGCAGTGCATCACACCCCCAGCAATCAGGGATCCCTGCAGGCCAGAAGGCAGCAACCTCGCACACCTGGACAGTCCCAGCTCTTGGTCCAGCAGGACCTTGGGCCTGGACATACCCATGGGTGAAGCTCCTGGGGTGCAGGTCACAGGCCACAAGCTCAAGGATATACGGATGTCATCTATACCTTCTCCATGAACCCAACCCTGGACAGGCACAGACTCGCACCCAGTCCCCAACTTGCGCCCCAGCACTCCAGTCCAGGAATGCCGTGGGAGGCGGAGAAGGCCAGCCCGTGCAGACGCTCCAGTGCGCTGCTGGATTAAAAGGAAAATGCTTTCTTAATGAGATCAAGCGAGGCCTGTTCTCCCTCGCTTTGGTGGTATCCTAAAAACCCAGCCCAGGGCTACAGGAGATTAAAGTCACCTTTGTTCAGCTCAGGAGCAGGAGGCCTCCCAGAGAAGTGCTGGGAGGGCCCGGGCGTGGAGCCTCCATCTCTCCAACACAGTCACCAGAAGAAAAACAGCAGGGGCTGCAGCTGCAGGCCACCCTCCTTCACCCAGACTCAGTTTCTGCCTCTGTAAATGGGCTCAATAGTGCTCATCTATGTTAGGCAAAGCACTGAGGACAGACTGTCCTTTCCCGAGCTATCATCATCACCACCCCAAGTACACAATCGGGGAAACCGAGGCCATGGTCACACCTTACTTAGGGCCTCCTAGGAATGTATACCCCCCAACTTCCCGAAGGAGGAGAATCAGGGTAGTGAGGGCAGCAGGACTGGATGAGGACTGAGGGGGAGGCACCCACAGGAAGCAGCATTGTTCCTAGAGCCTTGATTCAAAGAAACACAGGATGCCAAGTTCTCCCCCAACCATTGTGGCTGCTGTGGTGGCAGCCGCTGCTGCCTGGCGTGCTCCTGGGAGGTGGGGGAGGAGCAGCAGGCCTGGAGCCAGGCTCTTCACCCTGACCTCAAGGCCTTGCTGACCAGACCGCCTAACCCCCACCTTTCCAGTGGTGAGAACCTTCCAGCACAGTCACTGGGGCCTAGGGCTCATGCCCCAGATTCCCAGATTGCCTTTCCAAGGCACCCCTGACTCAGTGGGTGCAGAGGGCACCTCCATCAAGAAGCCTGCCTACCCCACCCTGCAGGCAAATGCCCGTTGGACCTCACAGCCTCTCCAGTGTCCCCCACTGAAACTAGGCCTAGTTGCACGGCACAGGCTAGGAAAGCAGGCTCTGCACTACAAGTTCCAGAGACCCCTGCCCACAAAAGACGGGCTATGCTTGCTGTGCGCATCTGAGCTGATGGTGGAAGCAGATTCAGCTTCTCCTAATGGGGCAACCTTTCAGCAGGGTCATCAAGGCCCAGTGCAGTGATGGCCCCGACCCTGAATACCTAGTAGGTATTGGATATGGTGCCCCCAAGACCTCCAAGTTTTGCTGGCCCTCTTTTTAAAACACTCTGTTGGGAAGGCAATGTTTTTCCCATTGTAGAGATTCAAAATGTGAGTCAGAGAAGCCCTAGGTTTGCTCAAGATTATTCAACGCAGCTGAGAGAACTAAGACCCCCTGACCACGTCCTCTCTGCTGGAAAAAGCCCCAAACTCCAGGATAAGAGGTGATCAGAGCTGGTTGGTGGCAGTCGAGAGGGCTGAATGCTGTCCTAGGTCACACAGAGGGAAGGCCAAGTGCTGGGGGAGGGGGTGTCCCTGGCTCAGGGATGGTGCCCCACTAGAGTTTTCAGGGGTGGGGGGCAGGCCCCCTCATCGCCAGGCAACCTGAGTGGCCAGCACGGCAGTAGCGGTTCCCATGGAGCACAGAGCTGCGCACAAGAGGCCCGACGCCTTTCTCCCAGGAGAAAGGGGCTTTGTTACCTTGCCCATGGGGCCAGCGTGAGAGCCGACCAGCGCTGGGAATCCTAACGGCCCCAGTCGCCAAACAAAACCCGTGGGCCCCCCACCACCCCTTCCACCGGCCTCCTAAGCCTCTGGGAAGGGATGCATAGTTCCCAGGAGGCTGCCATGGGGTTCCCAGACCCCTCTCCAGCCAGGGCCAGATAGGACACTGCTCCCCAGCCCCATTCCAGAGATCAGTAGGACCTTCCTTGTATCCTAACCCCCACTTTGTATCCTAACCCCCACTTTGCCATGAAAGGAGCTCGATGAGGCTATAACTCCCGGGTCTGGGGGCCTGGATCAGGGGTTAGAGATGTGGGGTTGGTGGTGGGCTCCCATCGTGACCCCAGATACCCCTGAGCCATCAGACCTGGGGCGGCTTCCCCACTGCTCCTATAGGCTCCGCCCTCTGCCCCTTCCCGCCCCAGCCCAACCGTTCTACTGTAGCCTCAGGGGCGATTTCAAAGTGGGGTGTGTCTTCATTCCGTCTAGGAACGTGATGCCCAACTGGAGGAGTGAAGTGCAAAGATGAGGCCTCAGGGTCTCCAGCAGGAGGAGAGCAGATCTCTACAGACCCCCAAACCCACCGTCTTTCTTTCAGCATACACTTCCCAGGGCCCACCTGCCAGCAGTGCCTTGACCCCACACCACAGCAAACTAAAATGGGTAAGGGACCCAGTCCCGTACCCAGAGGTCCTACATTCTCCCTTCACTTCCAAGACATGTGCCTTCCTCCCCGGAAGGGTTGACGGGGGTGGGGGTGAGGGGTGGGCGGGGAGAGGGTGTCTCTCAATGGGCTGGAGCAGAATATGATGGGGACGTTTGGGGAAAATAAAGGCCCACTGCTATCTGCAGTTTGGAGAGCAACATCACAAGCACCAACCCCAAACGCAAAGACTGCTGTAGGGTCGGTGTGGCCCCCGGGCCTCTGGAGCCTGGCGGAGATGTCCCCTCACCCAACATTTCCAAAACTGTAGGGATAGTGGCCCCAGGAGGTAAACAGGGCTCAAAGGAGCTGAATCGGTGGCACCGGGCAGCAACGTAGGTGACAGGATATAGCTGGCCCCCAGCGGGAACTCCCCCCGCCGCTGGACAAGGCGGCGCGCGCCAACCCCACCTGCCTGGCCAGACCGCCGGGACTCACCATCTCCTTGTGGCGCGAGATCCAAGTTTCCAGCAACAGGTCTAGGCGCGCACGATGAAACTTCCTGGTGGTCTTGACCGCGATGAAGACATCGCGGGGGACCAGTGGCTCGGCCGGGGTCCGCGGGTGGCCGTCGGCGGGACGGGGGTTGCCATCGGGCGGCGGCCCCGCGTCCCTGCGCGCGCGAGTCAGCAGGCTGAAGTACTCGGACAGGCTGTGCACCTCGCGGGCTAGCACTCGGGGCGCCGCCGCTGCCTCCAAACCAAGCGCTGGGGGCACTAAGCTGTGCAGCGCGCGCCGGCCGCGCTCGGCGGGCACCGGAGCGGGTGGTGGGTCAGCGGTGAGCACCAGAAGGCAAGCGAGCAGCGCGCCCGCCAGTCCTAGCAGTAATCGCCGGCCGCAGCGCTTGAGCATGGTGGGCGCGGCCGGCGAGCGCACGAACTACCCAACTTCTGGGTCCCGCGCCGTCTAACAGCGCGCCACCCGGCCCCAGCGCTCTTAAACGCGCTCCCGGTCACGCCTCTGCATGCTGATTGGCTCTGGCCCTCAGGGGGCGGAGCATCGCCCACGTGGGGCCGCTGCGGGGGGCTGGGAACCTCGGTCGCCCCTCCAGCCGGCACACGTGCACGCCCCGCCCTGCCCGGGGTCGTCCCCGGGAGCCACCAGGGGGCAGGGGAGTGGTTGGGGCTCGGGTCGGGCCCGCGCCGGATGCGCCAAAAGGGGACACCTAGGCTGACCAGCGCGGGCCTGGGCCGCACTCGGCGACTGGCACGCGCAAGGGCGCGCCCTCCGCGTCTGGGCTGGGTGTTGGGACTCAGCTCCGGCTCCGGCTCCCCGCAGGGGATGTCCTGACTTCCCTCCGGAGCCCAGCTTCCTCCTCCCGGGACAAGGCAACGGGACAGACAGAAGTCTATCCCCTCGTTCCAGCGAGAACACCTGTCCCAAACTCCACCCCTCGCCCGGCTACTTCCTGGAGTGCTGTGTCCCCCGAAGTTCTTAAGCACCCAGTGGCAAGAAGTTAAGGCCGCCCTATCCCTCGAGGGATGAAAGGCCGCCTTCTGTCCCATTTGGTCCCTCCTCGCTTGGGTCAGATGTGACCCAGCTGTGCACCGCTCTGCCCCGCCTTCCAGCACATGGCCCCCAACCCTGGCGCTTCCCACGGGCCCAGGCCGACCCCCTGCACGAGCGGTGGCGGCAGGAATGCGCTCCTGGAGCGGGTAAGGCACTACGGGGCCGGAAGTGGCCCAGGGTCCCCCTGAGCGGGCACAGGGTCTGAGCCCCCTTCCCTTCTCTTCCAAGAGGGGGTGGCTCTCCGCTTGGCTGCGCCGAGGTCCTGCGCCCACACTAAGGAGACCCTGTGCACCCACCGGCCCTTCCAGGGCCCAGCCCCCAATCATCCTGCCTGCTGGCCTCTATATGTCCACAGCGCTCATCCCTTTGCCCAGTTATGGGCCCTCCCCTGCATGTCAAAGAGGCAGGACAGCCGCGATCTCTTGGAATCCTGGTGGAAAGGCCAAGGACCGGCCCCTGGCCATTGCAGGGCTGTAGGAAGACTGCCTCAGTGGACGTCTGCCCCACCCCCACTGAGAGGCTCTGGCCCATTTGCTCTGCCCCCTTAGAGGTAGGGTAGGGGCGTTGGTTCCCAGGCCTCTTCCGGAGGGTCCCAGGTAATTAGCAGACAGCACCTCAGGCAGGCAGATGTCTGTGAGCAGATGGTGCTAGCTGTGCCCAAGTGACAAGTCTCCCATAGCCTCACCTCCTGCCATAAACTCCTTCGCATCAGCCTGACCCCAGCCCTGAAGCCTCCCATAACCGCGGGCCTTTGGGAGGGGGCTCCCCAAGTGCCAGCCAGCGCCAGCTTCAGGCTCAGCGTCTTTGCCCCACTTCCTCACCCCCACCACCAATCCCCACCATTGTGCTTCTCAGCCATTTGGAGTCTGAGCCTTCTCCGCCCAGTCCTCTCTCCCCTGGACCACTTGGCATCCTGCACCCTGATCTTCCTGTGCCCAACCTGCCTGCCCTATTTACTCTCCTTGCCGTAACCAAGCAGCTCTGATTACATCCCCCCTCTCCCATAGGCTGTGCACAGAGAGATCAAGTCCGTGGCTTCCCCTTGCCGGTGGATTCAAAGTCCTGACCTGGTGTTCACATACTTTTTAGGAGTCCCAGCCCTGTTCCTTGCTGCTTCTACAACTTCATTCCCCAACAGCCCAAGCATGCTGGGCCCTGACATCTGTGCCCTGGACTTGGAATCAACTCAAAGGCATGGAGAGTCAGTGGGCAGCCCTGGGGGCCAAATATTCTGCAGACTTCCAAGAGGGAACAGGAAGCAGCCATTCTACCCACAACTACGTGACTGACTCCATCAAATCAGAGGGTAGGATTCGCTCAAGCCCTTAACCCCAGGCCTCCATGCTCCTGGCTCTCTGGCCACTGTGGCTTTCAGATGCCAGACACTGGGGGCAGTGAACCCATTGTACAGAGCACAAGCTGAGGCTCACAGGAGGAGCATCTGTGTCAAAGGAAGCCCTGCAGCCATCTGTTGGGAAGTAGGGGACCCAACTGTGACCTGCGAATAGCAGGACAAAACTTGCAGCTATCTTGTGGGGGCTGCAGGCCTTGGCAATAGTGATTCTATTTGTTTGCTGTCAGGAGATTGGAATTTCGTGGTGACTCCTTGAGGTCTGAAAACTGGAGGAGGGTGGCTGACCAGCTGCCTCCGCCCCTTCCCCAGGCCCAGCTCCAGCTTGAGGCACTCCCCTTCCCCCTAGATCCCAAGGCTATCTCCAGGAACTGCTCTCCAGGGAGGTGCTTAGCTGAGGGCAGGAAATGGGGGTCTGGGAGGGGGCGAAAGAGGGAAGGTCAGGTTGGCTGGGAAGCCCCTTGGGACCCTGCAGTCCTGGAAGGGGGCAGAGGGAGGATGGTCCCAGGCCCCAGCGTGGGCAGGATTCCAGGAGCACAGCCAGGCTTCTTGCCTTCCCATCCCAGAGTGGCCACCTTTCAACCGACCTTGGACAGTGACCTTGCTCCACTCCTGTGAGCCTCAATTTCCCCACCTGTAATATGGAGATGACTTTTTTTGCAATGCTGGTGACTGAACCCAGAACCTTTCTCTTGGTAAGCTAATGCCCTACCACTGAGCTACATTCCCAGCTGTGGCTTTCCTGAGGCCTCCAGGACCCCCTCCAGGCTCCGGGCAGTATTGTGCCCCACTGAGTTCAGAGCCTCTTCACCTACAGGCTCAACCTGGGGTCTGTGACCTTGGAGCGCTTGGGACTGGCTGCCACCTTTCCTCAGTGGTGTCCTGGGAAGATCTGTGGAGACCTAATGGGTGAGCCATTAACTACGCAGGAAGTCATCCGAGGCAGCCCACAGGCCTATCACTGCTCTGTCCAGTGGTTCCACTCAATGTCCTGGAAACCTGCCTCCCCCGGCCCACAGCCCAGCCCAGAGAGGGAAGGTAGGGTCCCTGGCTGCACATCCAGGCAGGAATGTGAGACTGGTTGCTGGACAAGCTAGGAATGCCAGACTGCAGGCCGATAGGAGGGAGCACCAGGTACCTACAGACCCCTAGGGGACAGTAGCCTGGCCAGAGTGGCCTAGTCTAAAGCCTGTGGGTGAGCATCATGCGGGAGGATGAGAGGGACAGGGCCTGGTGGAAGCTAAGTACCAGGACTTCCAGGCGGGGGGTTGGGGTGATTCCCATGGTTGCATTGGAAGGCTGGGATAGGCAACCTCTTGCTGTGATCAGAGGCCCACTTGGTCCCAGATGCCTGCCTGCCCTGCACCCTTGCTGCTGCCCACTCTGTGTGGTCTTGGGCCAGTTCCCGTCTCTCCTTGTGGGCTCAAGATTCTACTTGGCTGTAATGGTAACGTAGCTGGCGCCTCCCTGCCCTGCCCACCAAGTTGGCTTGGGATGGTGCTCTGCAGGCATAAATCAACCGCCTTCCCACTGGCAGCCTGACCCTTAGGTCTGGACCCTGGGCCCTGGCATGGACAGAGTGGCTGGTCTTGTTGGGGCCAGTCTGACTTGGCCTCAGTGACTCAGAAAGGCTCTCGGGAGTACCCTGACTTGGGCATGCTGCAAGCCAGCCAAGAGCTGCCTCTTCCAGGAAGTCCTCTATCCCCTAGGTCATCCGTGGATCAGTACCAGCCACCTGGTACTGCCTTCCCATGCCTTCCCATGAGGGCAGCACACAAGTTACACTATGTCAGGGCCTGGCACAAAGGAAGCACCCAGTAAACTCTGGCTGAGTGATACATGGTGGGGGTAGACAGATGGATAGATGAATGGAAGGACAGACAAATGGAGGAATGGGTGGATAGATAGTTGGAAGGGTGGATAGATAGACCCGTGAGTGGATAAATAGGTGAACAGACAGGTGGAGAGTTGGATGCCTAGATGGATAGACGGATGGATAGACGGATGGATGGATGAATGGATGAATGGATGGATGGATGGATGGACAGATGGATGGGTGCGTGGATGGATGGATGGATAGGAGGATAGACAGCCTGTTGGAGGCCACCTGCTTATGACTGAGCTTGGCCATCCTGCTGGGAAAAGTACCGGTACCCCTTACACAAGCCTCCAAGGGCCGCTCTTAAGCCTCAGGAGTCCAGCAGGGACAGCAGGGAGAGGGTCTCAGCCCTGGGGCATGGATTTGTCCACACTAGGAGGGCAGACCCAAACCTGCCAGCTGAGCCTCTTCCTGTGACTGTGCTTGGAGCCAGCTGGGTTGAGGGGCTGGCTGGGCCTAATCTGATTTGCAGGTCCCAGGCGCAGAGCCTGACTACGAGGACCCACTTACTGAGGTCCTGCAGAGGCCAGACACACACCCTGCAGACACCAGAGTCACCCGGCCCTAATGGTCTTTGTCTTCCCAAGAATGGCTAGCTTGTGTGGCAGCCACAAGTAGGCACCAGGCACAGGCCCCCGCCCCAGTCATGACCCTGTGCCCAGGGGCAGTGGAAGGGGGCTCCAGGCTGGGTGGAGGCGGAAGAGGTCAGTCTTGGCTCCGAAGGCCTTCTTCACTGTGCGAAAGGTACGGCTGCGACCTCAAGCTCTTCCTCCGTAAGATGGGCTGTCCTCTTAAGGACAGGATGGATATGGCGTGGGTGGGTGGGAACCTGGGCTCCCAGAAATGACAGTCACTTCTGCAAAGAGAAGAGTCATCGGGTCTGAGAGTCATTGCTGGGCTCAGGCTTCCACCCAGTCCTTTCATCCATTCGTCTGTCTGACTGTTCGCCTACCCCTGTCCCCAGCCCATTTCACTCGCTCATCCAACACTGGCCCTAAATGTTTTCTCCATGCCCAGCCCTGCTCGGTATGGAGGGATTTAGACAAGGAATTTGCCAGCCTCTGGCCCAGGGAGCTCAGCCTTGAGGGGAGCATTCAACAGGCACCCAGATGTCGCTGTGCAGGCCGAGGTGGGTAGGGCTGGAGGATGGGCCAGGCACAGACACGCTCA